CTTAGGTTGCTTCCAAGTCTTGGTAAAAAGCCATTTAAAATTCTTATTTTTAACAATAAAACTGGTTTCACTTCACTCCTCTTTTCTCTTTATAGGTGTATATAAAAAGAGAATGAATGTTTTGTGTTTATGGGTGTCTAATTACTGTTTTGCAGTACGGCATGTTGCTTGCAAGTTGGTGTGTATGTGTGAAGACTCAGCTGCTTCAGAAGAGGCTATTCAAAGACAGATTTTGGTAAGTCATAATTAAACGAGAAGAAAGTGCGGATGCAGTGAGAAAGTCATTACTCCTATGAAGATGGTTGAAGTTAGGGTAAACCTGAAAGGGGGTTATATCCTTTAGTGCTATCCATGTTTCTTTTATGATAATGAAAAGTCTCAACAGTACTATAGTTGTTATTACAGTGTTTCAGTGGACTAAATATTAAACTTATAATTCAAGATTTATGATAAGTAATGAAAGTAATACAAAGTAATAGTTCTCTGCTCTATCCCTTCCTACCCCTTGTTTTGCTCCGTAGAGGCGAGTATGTTTTTTTAGTGGAAAATATTTTTCCCAGTGTTTTAAAACAATATTTTATTAAAAAGCCCAAACGTACACACAAAATAGCTGATAGTACAATGATTTCCCCATTTATCCATCACTCAACTAGAGTAATCATCAACTCATGACCACTCTTGTTTCTTCTATATCTCTTTTGACAGAAAACCCTGGCCCTATAGATTTTGACACAAATTCAAAATACATCATTTTGCCCATAAATATTTCAGTATGTGTCTCTAAAAGACAAGATATCCTCTTATTCAAACAAACTCAATACCCATTATCACACCTGATAAAATTTAACAAAGATTTTCCAAAATCATCAAATATCCAGTCTCCCCCACCCTACCTCGCCCACCTGCTCACTTGCTTGCTTGCCTTCTCTCCAGTTGGTTCCTTAGAATCAGGATTAAAGCAAGTCCACACTTTGTATTTTGTTACTATGTCTCTTTTAATCTACATGTTTCCCCCTCCTTTTTTTCAATCTGTTGAACAACTTTATTTGCTGAAGAAACCAGGTTGTTTGTTCTACAGAGTTTCCTAAATTTTAGATTCTGATGACTGCATCCTAATGGTGTCATTTAATATAGTCTCCCGTTTTTCCTGTAAACTGGTAGTTAAATTTAGAAGCTTGATCTGATTCAGGTTCAATTTTGTCAAGAATAATTCGTAGGTGGTATGGTGTACTTGCATCAGGAGGCACTAATGTCTGCTTGTCTTTTTTGTTGTGTTAGTGCCCTTTGATGATTATTGTCCCCAGATCCATTATTTCTGTAGGAGTTTGCATATTCTAATTCTGTATTCCTTCTTTGTTTATTAACTGGAAAAGAGAGAAACTTTCCCTCATCAACTATTTGGTTACTCTGAAGTATACTTTTACAAGAAAGACAGTCTTGATTCTTTCCCTTTATTTAGTAGATTTCAGAATAATGAGTTGGTTCTCTAACATCCTTAAATGATGACCAAGTAGGTTTTTAGAAAAAGTATCATTGTGAACTCATAGATTTTAACATATTTAATGAACTTTAATCCATTGTAGTTATTACTCTTATTGAAGCACAATGTCCTATCTCTGGCCAGGAGCCTCTTTAAGTGATTCTGAGTCCTTTTGACATGACCCCAATAATCTTTGATTTCTGATATGACAAGATATCCCAGGCTCATCTTGTATAGTTCCTGCCCTAGACCTGGAATCAGCTATTCCTCCAAGGAACCTGTTTCCTTTAGGTGGAGAATGTCATTTAGAAACCACGATCTGGACATTACAAGTGTTCATTGCTGTTGCATCAGTCATTGTTTCTAGACCTTTTTAGTGGACAGAGCTATGAAATTATCTATCTATCTATCTATCTGTCTATCTATCTATCTATCTACCTATTTACTTTTGTGAGGAAGATTAGCTCTGAGCTAACATCTGTTGCCAATCCTCCTCTTTATGCTGAGGAAGATTGGCCCTGGGCTAACATCCGTGCCCATCTTTCTCTACTTTATATGTGGGGCGCCTGCCACAACATGGCTCAATAAGTGGTGTGTAGGTCTGTGCCTGGGATCCAAACCTGCAAACCCTGGGCCGCTGAAGTGGAGCACATGAACTTAACCGCTATGCCACCGGGCTGGCCCCTACATATTTTTTTAAAAAGAGAAAATATATAATGAGTTCATACTGATATTTCGAATTGATATTTAGGATTGTAGGGTTTTACTTAGCTTCTTGATTTTATATTTGTGTTTTATTCCTCTGGTGTGTTGCCCTTAAAAATAAAACAGCCAGTTACTTTACCAGAAAAATGAATTTATTTGGAAAAAACCAAAGAATTGGAATTCCAGACCCGCATACTGTGGCAAAAGCCATAAGCAAGTCCAACAATCAAAGGAGAGGAACATTATTTTATCAGGAAAAAGGAGGAAATTGTGAGATGTTGCTTTGAATGAAAGTCCATTGGAGAAAAAGCGAGAGTTAAGGACGGTGATGATTTCTCATTGGCTAAGTTGCTGGGATAGTTAATTTCTGTTTGGGATGCAATGTACATTTCTTGCTGTAATTGACAATTCTTTCCTGTTGAAGACTTCTTTCTGTTGGGGTCTGTAATTGATTATCTTTTCTGTAATTGACCTTGGGTGGTACTGTGTGGGAGCTCCCCCTTTGGCATCCTGACTCCATTTTAAATGAGATTTCCCTGTATTAATTTTCACAAGTGCTAACAATCTTGGTGCCTGACAACAGTATAATGAATAATTTGTTTTGTCCTAAAAATATATATATTTATAATAGTTTCAGAATATAGCAATATCAATATTATTACTAGCAATGATTTCTAAAAATCATTTGAGAATTTTTTTGCACTTCTTTCATTCTTAGGATATATCCCTCTAGGAATGTACAGTCAAAATATTGTTTTAATGTTATTAAAATATTGTTTAAAATTACTTGAAGTAATTCCTTTCTCTGTGATTAAGCTATTGACTTGATACATAGTTAGGTTCATTTGTTTCTATTTCCTTTTGATTTTTAGTGATTGCTTCCCCCCCCCATTTTGATTGAATTGTGTTTTATTATTATGTGAAATATTTACATGGTTCCAAAGTCAAAACCACTAAAGGAAGTATATTCAGATAAATCTAGCTTCTATCTCTTGTCCTCTCCACCCTGTTTCCTTCCTTCCCCTGTAGATAACTATTTTGTTTATTTTATATTTATCCTTTTGGCTTTTAAATATAAGGAAACAGGTATATATTCACATCACCCCCCTCATTCAAGGTTCTTAGATAAATGGTAGCATTCCATATATGTACTTTTCTCCACCTTTTTTCCCCCATTTTTTTATTGACGTCATAATAGTTTATAACATTGTGAGATTCCAGTTGTACATTATTTGTCAATCACCGTATAAATGTGCCCCTTCACCCCTTGTGCCCACCCCCCAACTCCCTTCCCCCTGGTAACCACCAAACTGTTCTCCCTGTCCGTGTGTTAATTTATATTCCACATATGAGTGAAGTCATACAGTGTTTGTCTTTCTCTGTCTGGCTTATTTCACTTAACATAATACCCTCCAGGTCCATCCATGTTGTTGCAAATGGGATGATTTTGTCTTTTTTTATGGCTGAGTAGTTTTCCATTATATATATATGTGTACCACATCTCCTTTATCCAATCATCTGTCAATGGACACTTGGGTTGCTTCCACTTCTTGGCTATAGTGAATAATGCTGCAATGAACATAGTGGTGCATAAGCCTCTTTGGATTGTTGGTTTCAAGTTCTTTGGATAAATACCCAGAAGTGGGATAGGTGGATCATAAGGTATTTCCATTTTTAATTTTTTGAGGAATCTCCATACTGTTTTTCATAGAGGTTGCACCAGTTTGCATTTCCACCAGGAGTGAATGAGGGTTCCCTTTTCTCCACATCCTCTCCAACATTTGTTATTTTTTGTCTTGGTGATTATAGCCATTCTGATGGATGTAAGGTGATATCTCATTGTAGTTTTGATTTGCATTTCCCTAATGATTAGTGATGTTGAACATCTTTTCATATGTCTATTGGCCATCTGTATGTCTTCCTTGGAAAAATGTCTGTTCAGATCCTCTGCCCATTTTTTGATCAGGTTATTTGTTTTTTTGTTGTTCAGTTGTGTGAGTTCTTTATATATATTCTGGAGATTAACCGCTTGTTGGATATATGATTTGCAAATATCTTCTCCCAGCTGTCTCCATCTTTTTTTTTTTACCCCATTTAGCATTATATCCTAAAGATCACTCCATAGCAGTATACAGAGATATTCTTCATTTTTTATAGCTACATAGTATTCAATTGGTGCATGTACCTTATTATATTCAACCAGCCCCCTTAGATGGACATTTGGGTACTGCAATGAATTGCCTTGTGCATACATCTTTTCCTGTTTTAAGGCTATTACTTGTAACCATTTCTGCTTTCACTTCTCCTTGTTACCTCCATGTATTTTAATTATAAGCTTATATCACTGTGTTAGTTTCCTAGGACTGCCACAACAAAATACTACAGACTGAGTGGCCTAAACAGTAAACATTTATTTTCTCACAATTCTGGAGACTAGAAGTCCAAGATCAAGGTGTTGGCAGGTTTGATTTCTTCTGAGACCTCTCTTTCGCTTGCAGATGTCTGCGTTCTTGCTGTGTCCTCATATGGCCTTTCCTCTGTGTGTATGCATCCCTGGTGTCCCTTTGTGTACCCAAATTTCCTCTTATAAGGACTCCAGTCAAATTGGATTAGGGCCTACCCTAGTTGTCTCGTTTTAACTTCATCACCTCTTTAAAGGCCCTATCTCCGAGTACAGTCACATTCTGAGGTACTGGGAGTTAGGGCTTCAACATATGAATTTTGGGGGGACACAATTCAGCCCATAATAATAATAATTACATCTTGATTTATCAGCTCTATATGTGATCTATTTTTTTCTGCTATGATAGGTGAAGACTTATATCATATTATCTTATATTACCTCCTCCTACATCCTCTTTCAGTTTTTGTTAGTTATTTTATACTATTTTTAATTTATCTGATGGTTACCTTTTAAAAGTTTAAATAATATATTTAAATTTTTATTTCTTTCTCCATCAGTTTTGGAGCATATATCTTTTTTTTTTTTTAATTTTTATTTATTTATTTTTCCCCCAAAGCCCCAGTAGATAGTTGT